GTTATTCAGCAATTTTTTTTTTTTATTTTGTTGTTTACATTCACAATTTGTCCGATTTGAACATTTGGTAGAATTTTTTGGCTGAAAATTCAGCAATTAGGTTAGAAAAATTGAGCAAAATTCCAGCTGGACAAATCGTAAAGTGGAAATTAAATAATAAAAAAAATTTCATGAAAAATGAGGCAGAGTAACAGAAATAGTTCTCTCTCTCCCTCTCCCTCTCTCTTTTGTGTAGTCGTAAGATTCTTTTTTGTGGCACGTAAACATCCCAGAACCGCCTCGTAGGATCGATCGGTAAATAAAATAAAATCCCCGGGGAATTTCATGGAAACGTTCTCGTTAGACTGTGGCTGCGTTCCTGGCACGTTTACAAAACACCACCGATCACTGTCATTCAAATCCTATCGGACTTCCTGTCGCGACCACTCGTTCTTTCTCGTCGGTTTGCTTCTGTCGTTGGACTGCGGATGTTTGTGCGTTTATGTGACATCTAAAGATGCTTATGATACAATACGTATACAGGGTGGTCCATGCAACTGTTTCATGTTATAACCTGGTATAGCTACAGGAAAATGATGAACGATCGGAAGAGCGCTACATCCGTAGGATCGTGTCTTTTTTAGAAATGCAATGGCGCATGTTTTCCCTTGTTTTCCCTTGTTTTCCCACGAGTAGGCGAAATTCTACATGTTTTTTATTTTCGTAGAAAAATTTGTATGGGAATTTTATATTTCTATGTGTCTATTTTACATATTTTTGTTTATTTCTATTTTTTTAATTGCGTTCAGAAAAATATGGATTTTTATAAACAGTCGCGAGTTACTTTTCGCTTGTGCAATTTTTGGGAAAATTTTAATTTCATTTTGTTGCGATTATTCCGAGCGAAGCTTGCGATAGGATAACGTAGCCCTGCTACACTGATTTTATTTGACATTTTGTTGCTGATGATTCACGGTTACGAGCTGGATGGATGGAGGGAGTCACGCAATTAGCAATTAGGACGAGTCCTGTCTCCTGCTTCGCGCGGATAAAAAACACTGGCCGAGGAAAGAGATAAATGGTATAACAGGATTTATCTTCCTCTGACGACACTTCCCTTTTGCAAGTATAACGATGCACCTGCAACTGTTAATGAACAACAGCAATAACAATAGAAACACCAACGTGTGAGTTGTTTCACTGCGTTGGTATAAGAATTATTTTTGCAAGTACAACGATGCACCTGCAACTGCTAATGAACAACAGTAATAACAATAGAAACACCAACATGTGAGTTGTTTCACTACGTTGGTATAAGAATTATTTTTGCAAGTACAACGATGCACCTGCAACTGCTAATAAACAACAGTAATAACAATAGAAACACCAACGTGTGA